GTGAGTGTCAGACCCAACTTTGGGTCAATTATTAGACATGCTGAGTCACTATTTTTGCTCCTATGTAGTTCTTAGTTTTAATTAAAATTATAAATTAATTTGGAAAGAGGCGTAACTGCATGATAAATTCTTGTGCGGGAACTGCGTTTTAACATTTACCATTGGAGTGATTTAATCCATTCAGTCCAGTGGAGAAATTTTTTTAAATTTTTCTATTTATTTGCTACGTAGACGACAATCACGTGATTCATTGGAGATGCTTATATATAAATCTCCATGATTTGTCATGTATGTTCACAACAACAGTACAGTATATAATGTGGTGTAAGAAAAACATACAGTACAGTATATAATGTGGTGTAAGAAAAATAAAATAAAACAAAATAAATCCCTAGATAAAATGATTAATTGATCAATAATTACTGTTTGTACTGTTAAAAGGAAAACACATGAGAAGAACATGCATCTGTAGCTGGACATGGAATATGATTCTTAAACACACAGTACAGTAGGAGTATTATTCAACACCTCATATTGCTAACAATGTCCAAAATCCTAAGTACAAAAAGAATACTACACTGGGGTTCTACAGCAATATCATCTTTGCGTTTAGTCAAAGTATCCAACAACTCACTAAAAGAAAAGTCATTTATGCCTCTATAATTACGGTGAACAGAGAAAAAAAAAAGTGTTATGTTTCATGTTACTGGTGATCCTTTGACATCTTCAGTTGTATCAGCCTTATCCTTCGGTGGACTGTTGTAATTCTTGTCGTTCTCTGTCAGGTTTTCGCTTGAGGTACGTTGAATGCCATTTGCTACGCCATTGTCCACAGTGGGCAAATTACCATTTTCTGATACATTACTGTTAGAATTGATATTGGTATTGATATTAGTATTAGCCTCAGCTTTAAGAGCAGGTTTTGGTAGTTCCCTTGATGGTGAGGATGCTAACAGTCGGTTAAGTCCATCAAACAAGTTTTTGGTATCCGAGACGAGGGCCGATCCAACTGGGTAACAACGACCAAAACACAATGCACAATGAGGAAAAGCGACCTGCACAGGAAGTACAAGGTGTTAAATCGCTGTTCGAGGGAACTAATTTACAACTTGAAACTACAAACTTGGGAAATGATAAATGCTAAGAACTTCACCTCAACAAAAGCTCGGCACAGTTTTATGAAAAGAACAGACTCGTTATCTCTGAGCATCCTACTTGTATTGTATCTCAGTAGAGAGTCAGAAACTGCCTGCAAACCTTTAACTAATTCCTGGGCAAGCACGTTTTTCAGGCTTAATGGAGCACAAGGTCGTAGTTCATTCATTGCTGCAGATACACCTGATACCAGCAAATATGAACAATTTTGTAAATACATTTAAATTCTCTATAGCTATAAATATTGACCAATAATTTTACCGTTGATAAAAACAGCAAGCGGAGGATGCTCCATTAGATTTGAAGGAGGTGTGATATCATCATGACTTTGTTCATTCAAACTACTGGTCGGGAAGCCAACTGCTGGCAACGGGACCCAACGGTGAGAATTCAGGACTAACTGGATAAAATGTAACATCTGTCACATCTCTTTTGCAAAGGATGTTTGTTCTTGTGGAAAGACCATAGTAGAAAACAGTAAACTATTACTTTTAGGAAATTATACCTGAAAATTATCGACGGCCGTCCTCATATTCTTGGAAAACAAATTAAGGGCTGCTCTGTTCAGACAATAAAGAATATTTCCACATGAGAGATCATTAAATGCAAAGTATGTAATTTACCAAAATATGATTGAAATGTGTGTGTACTCTTCAAAAAGTGGGGGAAGTAGTCCTCGAAAATCCAACCCAACCCAGCCAAGGCCCATAGCACAATACTGTACACCACAAGCAGGGAATATTGGTACCACATTGTCAACATTATTTGTGAAAAAAGCAATTAGTTAACAGACAGACAAACAATCCTATACTGAGATAATGCTACAATTTCAGGGGGGTATTCATAACACAGAATATATTCTCACCATGCTTTGATCTAGAATATTTGACAAAGATCCACCTTCACTTATCTTAGGAAGCATGATTTTGAGGGTCTTCAGGTGCAAGGTAATCTGATGCATGGCCCAGTCAAAGAGAAGGCCACCATCATAATTTTCTTCATTTCCTGAAGTGTCGTCAACGAATATGGCTCGGTACTGGTTAACAACATCAAAAAGATGCATTCTCTGACAATTTACCATCCCTTTCAAATATTCATAAGGGTTTCTCTGGTCTAGATCATCAAGTATTCCAGTAAGCCACGCTTCACGGCATCTTAAAAACTGACCACCAGAAAATAGATCCTTGATTATAACTGTATCTTAAAAATCTAATTAGATCTATAGATCAGGGGCTATGAAAAGTTGAGAAAAATAATACTGAAGGAAAGACAGGACCATTAAAAAATGACCATGGTACCTGCAGACGCATTTCATATTCATTGAAAACTCCTATTCGACGTAAATATCCAATGATATGGAGGCACTCTGGCAACTGCATGCACAATTCTAGTTATAACCCACATGAGGGACCGCGATGTCTAATTCTAAATAGGATTATACCTGAATGTTAGATTTAAGCTTCTGGAGAAGCTGAGAGAGAAGAGACTGAGTAGTCTGCCGAACTTCTGCAGCTAGAGCTTGAATAACTGGAATTCTATTTTAAGGAAAAAAAATACAAAATTGTCAACTGGAGTAGTGGAACTAACCGTGTTGCTAACACAAGGAACTCACTTTGGGTGCATCGTGGTAAGTTTCGCTACAAATGCCTCTAAATCAAGAGCTTCGTCATAATTTCCATTTCTTACACATCTGCATCAACGTAATTTTAAATCATTCCTCAAGATTCAAGAAAACTATGGTCAACAAGCAACATGAATGTATCAGAAATAAGCATATGATTATACGTGTCCATGAGTTGAGGAATTTCAAGCAAATCAAGCAAAGTACTATGATTTCCCAGTAATGTTTGGTTCATCTTCCTCTTTTCCAAAATATGTTCCGCAGAATCAACAAAATCAGTGCAACCAGATGTTAGTTTAGGAATTTCAGCTATCTGCAGAAGAGGCAAACACATGTGAATAGCCATGAGTTTAAGTTTTCTTTATATCATGAACTTGAGCTAGACGAAGGAAAATAGCAGAAATTTTAGACCAGTATTCACATGTCCCTGCAGCCTATTTTCCTCCATCTGTCATTGATAACACTGTAGAAGTCACCAATACCAACCATACAACAAACAATATACAATTACCCGACCTTCTTCCTTCTCCAAGTTCTTCAATTTACAAGGAAAGAATCAAAAGAAAACAAGACCCATACAATGTATCCTCCAAGCACTTTAAAGATGGCTCATTTAATAATAGAATAGCATGCAATGGAAGATTATCCTTCGGCCTTACAAGGCATAGAAGTACACACACTTCCAAGTTTTCTCCTTTAACTTAGACTTCACTCAATTTATTGACTTCATACACAACTCAATAGCATCTCACTTGATCAGCAATGAATTATGGCAAAGTCGTCCATGTTATGGGCCCAAACTATTTCAGTGTGAAACTTATCACAAACTCAAAATGGGCTATGTTGCTCCAACACAAAGTTAAAAGGTTCAAAACCACAATGTTCGTATCACTTGCTTCACTTTCAAATCGTCACTGAAGAAGTTCACAGTGTCTAATACCAAATTAGCAAGTAGAGAACATCACTTCAACGACAATGCCATCTCAACAGTAATCAAAACAGGGATTAAAACGAATTTAAAAAANNNAAAAAAAAAAAAAAAAGATATTCAGAGGAAAATACCAGGGACTCGAGATGTTTATCAACGGAAGTAACTTGCTCTCGGATTTCGAGCAACGTATCCGCCGCCGCAATGAAAGCACGGTAATTGCCCACCGCCACCTCCTGCATCTGCCGGCGTATTTTCTCAGCATCTACTCTCAACAATTCCGGTTCCTTCAAACAAAAAAGTTGATTAGAGACAAAAAAAAAAAAA